CGAGAGAAAAAGGGGGAGGGACATAGAGGTAACCAAGTCCAACCCAAGTCTGATCTCCGAATGTCGCACACAGTTCAATCCCAATGTAGAGTGTAAGTCCGATCTGAATGTCGTGTTCAATAAGGCAGAAGGCCGTGCCCGAACAATGTCTGCAGTAACCTCTCTCTCTACTCTGATAAAGAAGAAGAAGAACTTCGGAGGAGTAGGAGGAGAAGAGGAGAGGAGAAGAAGAAGAAGAAGAAGAAGAAGAAGAAGAAGAAGAAGAAGAAGAAGAAGAAGAAGAAGAAGAAAGTTAGGCGCTCTCTGCACTTACCTGGCGATGGCTGAACTTGCAGGTACTGCGGAGCCAGCTATGGCGCTGGTACAGCTAAGTCCTCTTCTCTCTCTCTCTCTCTCTCTCTCTCTCTCTCTCTCTCTCTCTCTCTCTCTCTCTCTCTCTAACTCCACTACCCTCCTTGGCGCTGGACTCCTCCAGCGTTGTGCCTCATTGCCGATGAGCAGCGTTGCTGCAGTCTCGAAATAGCGCAGCAGGGAGTCTCTAGAATAGCGCAGCAGCGAAGTTCCTGAACCAGCATAACGCTGGATTTCTCTTGGTACCTTCTGTTCAAGAACTGGGCAACGACCCAACTTAAGTAGGGCTGGGCCAGGATTGAAAACCCACGGCCTGCGTTCTGGACCATGCAGATCAAAACTCCGATCCACGGTCAAGATCGCAGACTTTGAAACTGGTTCAGTCCTTGGCCTATAACGGCCTGCCTGGGTCCCTCCCGGACGTCCAGGCCCTGTCCAGGATTCAGTTTCCTGGTACCTGGCTTCGAACCGGTCCTGTGCTGACGTACCCGGCCTCAACGTCGGCCTGGGTCCGAACAGGTAGAAATCTGTTCGAAAACAAAAGAAAAGGTCCAAACGTTTTTAGGAGCTCAGCCTCTGGGCCTGAATCTGGCCCTGGTCCTAAAACGTGTACCTGGCCAGAAAACGGACAACAGTACAACCGTTAGAAAAACAGCAGCAAATAAATAAATAAAAGAATATAAAAATAATCTAAAGCTGGCGTTTTTCTGTTGCAGGCCCAAGTAAAAATGCCATAGGGCCTTCAGATTGCGGTGACGCGACCTGGGGGCCCTATTCCAACCTCGGGTCCCGTGAGGGGCCCGTGTGTAGGCTTTCAACATGTAACACGCCCCGCTCCTTATGAAGACGAGCCGGGGCGCGGGCGAAGCTGCCGATCCAATGGCGGAATGTAGCGAGGAATGCGAGGAGCTGGAGTGCTCGGCGTAGTCTTCCCTTCGCTAAGATAATGTGAGAGAACGGCGGGAGTTGTGGTCTGCAGTAATGAACGCGTCAGCCAACGGTTAGCCTTGTGGCTGCAGTAGGAAAAGTGAAGTAGAAACTCTGTTTCTTTGTTGCCATGGCGCCGGTCGGTGATGATGTAGCCGGCCTCCTCAAATCCGTCCATGGAAGGAGGGTCTTGCGTACGTCGATCGGGAAACTCGTCGGACTCCGCTGAGACGAAAGGAGCAAGTTTGGAGCAGTGGAACACCGTGTGGACGGGCAATTGAGGTGGCACCGCAATGCGGAATGAAGGCCCCTCGGGATCATCACCAACCGCGGAGAGAATGCGCCAAGGCCCCATCCACTTGGGAAGGAGCTTGCGAGAGATGTCTTGCTCAAGGCTGAACTCCGCGGCGGAGACCCAAACCAGATCGCCGGCGCGGAACGGGCAAGGAAGGCGATTGCGATTGGCTTGACGGCTCATCCGTATTTGCGTCTTCGACATCTGATCCCGTGCCTTGACAAGAAGCTCTTGCATGCGACGAAGGAACGCAAGATGGTCATCGCTCTCGGTTGTGCGCGGCAAAATGGCGTCCAACGACGATGAGATGGGTGAACCATGCTCAAACTTGATTGGCGATATCCCGATAGCCGGGTGGATCGATGAGTTGTAAGTCAACTCAACGTCTAGCAAGCGCTCAACCCAATGAACCTGGTCGGGACGGAATAAAGTGCGTAGAAGGACTTGAGCGGTCTGATGTGCCCTTTCCATTTGACCATCGGTTTGCGGGTGGCGGGCCGAACTCGGCTTCAAAGATGAGCCCCATCGCTTGACGAGGGCGACCCAAAAGTCGGAGAGAAAGCGAGTGTCCCGGTCGCAAACGATCTCCTAGGGGTAGCCCTTGGAGCGAATCCAACCGGTGTATAAGACCTCGGCTAACTCCGGTGCCTTTGCGTGATAGCGACAAGGCAAAAACATGCCGGTGAGGCGGTCGACGACCGTGAGGATCCCATCAACGCCTGTCTTGTGCTTCGAGAAGGGGCCGGTGATATCCATAGCAATCGCTTCCCGTCGCCCAAGGAGAACTGGTAGTGGGTGTAACTCGCCAAACGGACGATGGTTGCGCGACTTGCAACGCCGACAGACTTTGCACGACTCACAATAGTGGGTGGTGTCTTTGAGAAGGTCGAACCAATAAAACCGCTGGCGAAGTCAGCCAAGTGTACGGTTGACACCAAAGTGTCCGGAGGCGGGCGTATCTTAAAACTCGCCACGAAGCCGTGTGCGCAAGTGTGAATCAYTCGGCACACAAAGAAGATCCTTACCCCGTGAACGATAATGCGAAGGCACCGGATTCGCAGAGGAGCAATTTGCGTACTTGTCGCGAAAGTGGGGTCGGCTTGATAACCGTGGATGAAGCTCTCCCGCAAGTCGTCGTCGATCTCGAAGGTAGAGTAGACTGGGGTGCAAAGATCCGATCACCGTTAGAGGGCGTTCGCAAAACGGTTTGACTTCCCGGGAATGTGATCGGGGAAAAAGTCAAACTGGTCGATGAAAGTCATCCATCGGGCAATGGTACTGTTAATCGTGTCTTGCGACTTGTAGAATACCAACGGATTGTTATCCATTACCCATCGGAATGCTTTCCGACCAAGGAGGAAATGTCGCCAAYGCTTGAGGGCGTGGACGAAGGCAAAAAGCTCCTTCTTCCGTGCGTCGTCGATCGAATGCACGGGAGGTACTTTCTTGCTAAAGTACTCGACCGGGTGCCAGTCCGTGCCATCGTGCTGCTCAAGGACGGCCCCAATGCCATAGCCCGACGCATTGGTAGTGACGCGCGTAGCTAGAAGCGGGTCGTAAATATGTTACACCTCAACGGATAAGAGTGCCGCTTTGAGTGTTTCAGAAGAGTGACGCGCATCGTCGTCGAAGTCAAAAGGTCGCTCCTCGCTTTGTAACTTGCTTAGGTTGACCGCGATCTTCGAGTAACCCTTGATGAAGCGCTGATAATAACCGGCCAAGCCGAGGAAGGATCGGAC